TCTTTCTTTTGAAAGCACTCGAAAACTGAAGTTATTTGAGGTCCGGAATTACATGTGAAAGTTTTTATTTTTAGGCGGTAATTTGGAATTTAAATTTTTTGGTAGCTACATTTATTTAATGCAAGTTTCATTTTTCTTTTGACCAAAGATTTTTGATTTGCAATTTGAAATAATTGCATTGAAACTGAGCCAGTTTTGAAACCAAAGAACTGGGACTGGGCGTCTTGCGAATGTTTTTTCTTACAGGTTTTTATTTTCAGGATGTTGGCTTTAGCGGAACCAGAGGCATGCGAGACTAATTGTGAAACAGTTAAAGAAGATCCTCCAATTTTAATGAAAAGCCAGCCGCATGCACATAGCCACGGCATTCGTAGTATCACATTTGTTCTTGCTATATCATTTCATTCCATAATTGAAGGGCTTGCTTTTGGTGTCCAGGTGATGCAGTACAACAATTACCTGTTGTTACGTTTGTACTTTTAGAAAGATTATGCTTCTTCAGTTTTTGTGAATATTTAAGTATAGCTTTAATTTTCAGACTGATACTGCAGAAATTGGTGCATTATTTATTTCGCTGATGGTTCATAAAGTTATTGTTGCTTTTTCTGTCGGACTCCAACTTGCGCGAACTCATGCTCATGCACTGAGATGGGTTGGTTTCAGTATCCTTCTCTTTGCCGCAATGTCACCATTAGGCGCAGTTATCGGGATGTTCGTGCAGAATGCACATATCGACTCGGAAGTCAAGGATTATCTGATACTTATTTTCCAAGGACTTGCCGTTGGCACTTTCATTTACGTGACATTTTTTGAAGTAATGATTTTTTAACCTTTATTTGCACTGGCTATTTTTTTATTTTTTTTACTTTTCTTTTCCATTTAGGTGTTGCTGCACGAAAGAGATAATGAGCACCCAAATTTGTTAAAATTAATTTGTATGCTGGTTGGGTTTGCTTTAGTTGGTTTGCTGCGTCTGTTTGATGAGCATGAGCATTCTCATGACCACGGACAAAAACATGAACATCCGCTCTTTACGACTGAAGCTACCCCTTCAATCACCCACTGAAGTTTGCTTCAGCAGGTTTCATTGTATCAAGTCAATTGCGATGTACAGCATTTTATGAAGGTTGTTTGGCAAGATAGATTTTTACAAGTGGATCTTCAGGCTGTAACTTTTTCGCTTTTCTTATTGTGATTGTTTTTTTCATTCGTGTTTTAGGATTTTATTTTTGTTTATTTGAATATTATAATATTTTAGGTTGAACTTAAGTTTTAAAGTTTTCTTTTCTGCTGTCTTCCGTTAGTCATTCTGAACATTTAACAAACGGTTTTTTTTTTGATTTTAGCACTTGCATTGTAAGAGTATTTTCAAATAATGCACGGGTACATTGATCAAAGGGCTTTATTACTAATCGTGTAAAAGATCTTTGGATTACAGTATCATTTAGACGGAGCAGCTTTGCAGTAAAGGAGTGATGCTTTCAAACACACTCAGTCTAGGTTGAGTTTTAAAACATTTTATTACGCTCTATCTGCTTTAACTTGGTTTCTCAGGAATAGAATTGTTTAGGTCAATTTGGCTCTGTCCTAGAATGAGGAAGGGAATATTTTACATTTTTTGAAGTTTGCTTCTAGACTTTACTGATTACTTGTTTTTACTAATGACTTATTTATTTGCCTTGTGGCTTACTTGTTATGAAGATTTATTTGGTTTACAGAAGTTTAGATCTCTTTTTTTTATTTGAAGAGGTCTGCTATTACTAGTTTTTAGAACTTGAGGTGTAGCTTTTGTCTATTTGAAATATTACATCTCTTGTCAGCATGTTTTTAGCCATTCGCTACATATCAGGAGGTAATTTGTTAGGGACGTATACGCGTGGTAAAATTAGTCTTAAACTTAATGGTAATGCCAGCCACTAGGTTTCCAATCTTCCTCCTTCGGTCTATGTTTCCCTATAATTGTTGGAATGCGTATTTTATTGAAGGGGTAAATCGGTTGCAAGGCAGCAACGGAAATTGATTTGTTAAAGTTTTTT